AAAAAAAAAAAAAAAAACAGTTCATTTGTGTTTTTCTATGTTTGCAGGATGTATTAGCAGCTGAAATATAACCATGGGGGAAAAAAACATTTCACACTTAACACATGACATGGTTTTTCTTACCCACAGTGGAGAAGCGGACAGCGATAGGTGTCGTTTTGCCGACTGGTCAACACCTTGCCTTGCAGTAGCGAGTGATGTCGTGGTCCACCTCAAAGCACGCCAACGCCCCTGCATCAGGAGACGAAAAATGAAGACGTTTCCTTCTGTTTGTTCACATATTTGAAGCAGCTTAGATATCGTCTTGGTGCAAATATTTGTGGTGGACTGCTCAGGCAAGTTGACTGTTAGATCACCATGCACTGGAAAGAATGCAGCTCCCTCAAGAGAAGGTCAACAAACATAATTTGCTCAATTTTGTTTGACCTTAATCTGAATTGCTTACAAAGATTAGTATTGGATTTTTTTCAGTTCTGTTTACTTTTCACTACCATGTACATTCATTTCTTGACCTATAGATGGGTTACAATTTAAAAGGACAAACTAACACAAAACTCCCAGTCAAACCATTTAATGACTCTTCGTGTCCTCTATGAAAGCCGCAGCATTTGTTATGTTTCTCCACTCATTTGTTACAGTTTTTCATTCAGTCTGTATATTTGAGCTCTTTCCAATATAAAGGCAGGATATTATACTATGCTGGAAAAAATAATTAAAAATAAGTCAGAACATTATGCTCTGCAGTGCTGACGGTGACTGCGTGCAGTTTAAAGAGAGAAAAATCATCAAGAAACAATCATTGATACTGATTCATGGGTCATGAATAAACTAAATCAACCAAAATGTATGAATAATTTAAGGAAAACCTAAATACTTTTTGGATACTGACAGAAATATGCCCATGGCACTGATTATCAAAAGCTGTTTTGACCAAAGTGTATCATCAACGGTCTGGTCAGGTTCTTCATCTTGTTGACTTATTCTGTGATGTGATAGTTTTTGATTTAAATAACAAATTTGACAGTTTTAGGCTGTATTTTTACAAATGTATTGTACAGCTGCAGTGTGTTTGGACATTATTTAACACTTCACAAGTTTCTTTTGGTGGATTAAAACTTATTAATATAAAACATATTGACTTAGGAACTGCGTCATCAGTTGTGTCAAAAAAAACAAAAAAAAACATCCAACAATATCCATCTTTGCTAGTGTCAAGCACCTTTGACCCTGTGTGACTACTCAAACTGTGTATTGTTATGTACGTTAGGTTAGCATATCCGGGTGAAGTAAATAATCGCTGTTTGCTGAAGGAGGAGGTGGGACAAGCATTATTTTTGCAATAAGAAATGATCAGGATACAAAATGTTTCAAGTTTTGATGAATACAAAATGCTACAGTAGCAACCTGATAACGCTGACACAGAATCAGCTACACAAAGAGACTCACTGCCCGACACTCACCTGCCCCTTTGGCATGTACCACTCTCTCTGGGATTCGTTCCCGGTCAAAGTGGGCCATCTCGTCTGTGAAGACCACATCTTGGACCAGCAGAGGACCCCTCAGTCCTGCAGTCTGCAGGTTCAGCTTGTCTCCAACAGGATGGCCGGCCCCTGTGGTCAGTGTGTCTGGCCTCTGTTGCAAAGAGAAAAAAAACCAACACATTTAATTATGAGACAGACGTTAGGCCTATTACACAGTGCTTTGTGTGCGTACAATAAATATTTAACTTAAATACTACACACACTTAATATTTACTATAACTTCTAGTGACAATTATTTTATTTTGATACATTTGTCGTTAATTTCTTGACTCATTTAATAATCGTTTAGTGAAATATTACTGTTAGAAGGTCATAGAGCCCAAAGTGACATCTTCAAACAAAACCCCAAAGTATTTCATTTTAAAATAATATAAAACACACAAAAAAACATCACATTTGAGAAGCCAGAACTAGCCAATGTTTGCAATTTTAGGTTTATTAAATGACTGAAGCAAATAATCAAAATCCTTGCAGATTAACTTCTGCTGATCAACTAATTATTTCATGTACCTTCTGATACAGTGCTGGGACAATGGGATGGGGGGGAAATTATTCTAGAAGTCATTTTTAATGATGACTTTCACAAAATAAGTACCTTAGCATAAATTAGACTTATTCACAGGCCCGCGTGCTGTTTCCTCATACGGGCCAAAGCAACAGAAGCAAGCGGGTGAGACAAAGCTTAGCATAACAAATGGATAGCATAACTGAAGACTACTTGAGATGTTTGTGGATTCACAAATTGTGGCATTTTAGTGGTTTTGGGCAAATCTCATATTATCTAACTATGCCATTGGACCCTAGAGAGAAAGCTACAGAAGAACCTGCTTTGGTGGAAATGACATAAAACAGCTGAAGTGGCTCCCTTCATCCAACAATGTATGGCATAATGAATACGACCATAAAGACTTGTGGCATATGCATCAGTGGTTGCATTGATAAAACATATGGCGAGGAGCATACAAAACCAACAACCATTGCTGGTTGTTTTATAGATTTTGTGACCTGAAACAATGACTGTCCACAAAACAAATCAGGCTAGATCATGGTACTGAGAATATCCACGTTGCAATGACCCTAACAGTGAGGGAGAGAGTGATAAAGAAGCCAATCTAACATGCAGGGGGTGGAGAGAGGTGGACAACAATAAGGGTGACTTGAGGTAATGGTGGCTGCTTTCCCTGATGTGCACTGCTTATGTAACTCTCAGGGGGTAAAGTTCAACCACAAACATGCCTTTGGACAATGACCTACTTCATATATTTACACTGAGTGGCTCTCTATAAGGAATTGAAGTTATAAACGTGTTTATTTTGTGAATAAAAACGTTTGATAAACGGTTGTAGGTTAACGCCACTAAACGGTAGCTTTGTTGTTTTTCTTCAGCAACGTCAGCAAACGAAACGGCAGGTTAACAATAACAACCATATTTATGACACAAAACAAACCTACATGGAGGTGTTTTATTAACATGTCTGCACGTTCGGGTTTCAGTGAATGCTAAGCGAGCAGATAAGCTACCCTAAACGACCTCTCCCCCATTTCTGCCATGTCAGGCAGCGCTGCAGCTAAAACACTCGATCAAATGCAACGCATCCACAGACCTGAGAGCTTCTGTTCTCCTTCCATATCTTCATTTGGTCGGTAGTTTTATCCCTGTTGTCAGCCATCTCGTCAGCTCAGCTCTGCTTGAAGCGTGGACCACACTCGCTGTTCGGACGGTGTTGCGTCAAGAAGTGTTACCTTTGAATTCCAGTGCCTGAAAAAGTCTTCCTGGACTTTGCTCCATGTGACTCCGCCCCATCCCCAGTCGCCCCTCTCCTCTGATTGGCTGAGGAGAGAAAACTGACCTACTTTCAAGAAGAGGACAAAGCACCAAACCAGAGTTTTGTCGATTGTCTTTACATAATACAGTGTGTTGATTCCTTTGGTTCTTTAAACACAAATACTGTCAGGATACAGACCCCTCACATTGGCACCCCTCAAACTAAACAATCTACTTTTATTGCTAAACATCACTGAATTAGTGCATCTTTTTTTTAGGTATTTCTCGAGCATTACCCAGCTGAGCAACATGAAGTAAAAGTTGAAGTTTATTTTCTTTCTGTGCTTTTGGTTGCCCCAGCATATCTTTTTTTTTGTTTTGTTACTCTAGCGTAGTTTAACCTAACACAGTGGTTTCCAACTTGGGGGTCATCAAAGCATCAGGGGGTCGCAAGGCCTTTTTAATTTTGAGGGGTGTAAGAAAACTTTAATATTGGTTTGTATATGTAGATGCTGTGTCAGCATGACTCAGCAGCTATTTTTTATTGTTGTTGCCTTTTAACCTCGTCACCGTTAACTCACATTTAATTTTGTTACTGTTTGGCTCATTTTGTAAATAGCCAGAGGTGTAAGATCAGTTACTTTATGGACTGATCCATAGAAGGTCCATTTTATATAATATAATCATTTCAATGTTGTCAGCATAGTTATGTTTATGCGTGGCCCTAGGGATAGAAATGATAGAAACTTCAGTCGTACTGGATGTGTGAAAGTTTTTGTAGACATGTCATGATAGATTATCTCTTACATTATGTCTCTTGGTTTGAGAGAGCAGTTAACACATAAGCACAAATAAAAACAACATTTACAAATAAAATAATGAATAACGAATGAAGGCCTGACTATTTAAAACTCTGTTCATGGCAAACACATTGTAAGTAATCATTTTAATCATTATAAAAGCCATACAGTCGCAAGGCCTTTTTGATTTTGAGGGGTGTAAGAAAACTTTAAAATATATACCTAGTAGGCCTATATCTCAGCATTTTGTTCATTTCTGTGAAGAAAAGTAAACTCTTTTTAAGGTTTAGATGATTATTTAAGATCTTAACTTTGAAGATCTGAACACAAGCTATATTTACAGCCTTCACTCTCTGATAAACAGCCTCATCCTGCATTAGAAAACAACCAAAGAGCTAATAGAACAATGAGAAGACAACACTAAATTTGTCAAAAAAGAAGCTTATTAAGTCTGTAATACATAATACAGACAGTCACTAAAAAAATCACTAAAAATATCAGGAAAACTCATCTCTGATCAATATTCACAGGAAATAATCTCTACTCATTCACTGACTGCACTGTGTTGGACATTAAACCGTCAGTAACCTGTTGAATGAACCTATAACTTATAAACATACACATAGATATGGCTTAATGAAGGCTGTAGTGGAAAGAAATACGTCAGTGTATTGTGTGTCTGTTGCTGTACTGTAGCACTGTCACTATCATCATTTTATGGTAATGTCAGACTCTAGACTACATTATCTATATTTACAAAAATACAGCATATTCAGTAAGTAAAGGTAAAGGTTTTTTATTTTAAATACTGACTTTGCATACAAAATTACAAAAATGTTGTATGACAGCATCATTTGATAATAATGACTTTATTACTTTAAAATTGAATGATGATTAAAACTCAGTGATGAAAATAGTTTGTGATTCTCAAACATTACTATAATATTATTCGAAACAGGTGTTTGCATTTTGAATGCAATGTGAGATTTTCAGGCCAAAATTCAGAGTATTTTGTGATAAGAGACAATTTAAATTGTGTTGTGTTACTAGAGTAAAAGTATTGAGTAACTAAATCATTAAATTTACAAAGCACCACAGTCAGACCTACCTACTAAGGGACCCAGGGCTGAGTGAGCTGGTTCTTTATTCCTCAGAGATCCTGGATTACTACCTTTATTACATTTTGTATTGTATGCATCATATAAGCACAAAACAGAACTAATTAACTATTTAAAACTAGATTTTATCACAGGGTCAATTCCCTTAAGGCCTCAGTTTATATTGTATTTATATCTTTAGTGCTGTATATTCCCAAACAAATGTTCAATTAAATGAGCACAAACCAGCTGACAAACACAAGTAGTAGTCACTGTAATGGTTCTATATAGATATACATTGTCCGCCATAATATTCCATGATTACTTTTGTGGTATCCAAAAATATAGGATTGAGGCATCTTTTTTTTTCTCCTCTCAGATTCCAGGTCATCCCAAGAAGATAAACAAGTGGTCAGACTGTTACTGTTGAATTGCTTTTATTTCAAACAGCATTCACACAATACACTGTATTCTTGAGGCACATTCACATCAAGTGCTAAATAACTTCATGCATGATCAAATGTAGGCTACAGCTTTGTTGAATTGAATGCAAATGCTGATTGTAAATGAAAATATTGCTTCATTATTTGGCACAGTAGGAAATATTGTGTATTATATGACCACAGGTGGGTTATTTTTGGATTGATTTTCAAAGTGAGTTGAGGAATGCACTCAGAAAGAACATGTAGAATAGGCTATGTTCTGCTTGAAAAAAAAACCGAATAAGAATCACAACAATAAGGCTGATGATGCGTTTAGAGTTAGCAGGTATTTCACATGATAATTCACATTCAAAAGTTACAACAAAACAGCACTATTGCACAATGTTGTAGAGACAGATAAAAAGCCACCTTGACATTCTGACTTTTACATGGCCCTTGGCACATTATCTTCATTTTAACCAAAAAGCTTTTTTTAGCAATGGTACCACTCAGGCTTCAAGCTGCAAAGAGGCTCCTGTTGGTTTCTACCAGGAGCAGCCTCAGTGCTAATGAGAAGTTTGCATGTTTCTTAATGACAAAAGCTAAAACAAGTGTGACAAGTGCCTGGTGAAAAACAACTACAGATTAATTCAGAATATCAAGGTGTTTCCTTTAACATAAAAAGGAACTATAAACCCATTTTAATGGGGTTAGTATACATCAGTTAGTTAAATTCCCAGAGGTATTTTGATAATAATTCATTGATCAGCAATGATATTGGTGTTAAATATAGTGTTTTATAAATGAAGTTGGAGTTGGATGTTTATTAAAGTGGAATGAATGAGAATTTAAAGGAAAAATTAGAAGAATGTTGTTGTACACTATTTACACTGTTGTATATGCGTATGCAACTTGTTTTGCATTAATTATGGTAAAAATAGAATAATGTAATATGATATTTATATGCTAATTACATCTGATTTGGCCACCCTGTAACAACTGCTACAAATTACAATTATTTCACCTGGATAAGAGTACCTGGATTTTTTTTTTCAAAAGCACAATAAATACTGAAAATACCAAAACTTCTATTATTTGTCAGTCTCACTGTTAACAAATTACACAAGCAAATCCAATAGCGCTAACTCAACTCGGCTCTAAAACCGCTATGAAATCAATCAAGTAGGCGCAATCAATGACTGGTTTGAAAAGACAAATGAGTTTTTTCCTGAAAGAGAAGTGATTTCACCCCTCCGTCCAGTCAGTCATTCTCTACACAGCTATAACAGGCTACAACCAGAGTAGGCACCATGCAGAGAGGGGGTCATGCCTGCCAAGGTTGGGCTCCATTTGTTAATTAAAACTCACCTCTAACTCCAAAACATCTGATCAAGACATTTTTAGGTGGGAACATTTATCCACGTATTCATGTCTCCTTCGCTGCTGTTGTGGTGGAAAATCGGGATTCAGCACGATTCTCAAGCCAAGGGGACAATGTAAGGACGTAGGACACACACCAATTGAGAACTCAGTTGCTTTCAGTGTCTAATTTGGGTCATTTGGGATATGCTTCCTGAACTCCACCCTCACCCATAATACACCCAAACCGGAATGAAGCCAAATACTAAAGACGAGATTTAAACATATTGATCTAGGGACCAATGAAACACCCTGTTCAGGGTCAAACACTGGCTTTTCAGATTCCTCCCCCTTACTTGAAGATAAGCTATTTACCGCAATTTGTTACTCGCCAGCACAGCGACACATAATACACAAAGACACAGTATCCTCCCGTGGGCCTAAAACAGTGTAACAGATCTGAGCATGGCGCCAAATAAGGGGAGAGGTGAAAGGAACTTGAAGAAGCAAGTGTTTTACTTGAAACAGGTCGGGTACGTACGAGGGGAAAGAGGACTAGATCCTGCGCAGAGGGTGCCACATGGACACAGGCTTCCTCAAAGTGGCCAGCATCTGGTTCCAGTGGGTGATCCCCATCCCGCTGGCCTCTGGGCCGATGATCACATGACCAAGGTTCTCGCCCCGGCCATCCTCTGTGGTCTCTGCCACTGTAACCCTCAGGGAGAGTTCCTGCAAACAGCAAAACAAAAAACCTGCTGTGTGAGCATGATTCAGCATCTTCTTTACGGCATAGTTCATCCAAATCAGTTAATTTAATTTATTACTAGTTACTTTATAGAGTGATCCATGAAAAGTTAAATTTTATATCATTTTATATAATTGTCAGCATAGGTATATAAAAAAAAATCACATAATAAAAAATCTTGAATCTTGGATGTGTGAAATATTTTGTAGACATTCATGTCACGATAGATTATCTCTTACATTATGTCTCTCTTGGTTTGAGAGAGCAGTTAACATATAAGCACAAATAAAAACAACATTTCCAAATAAAATAACACCTGAGAGGCACGAAGGATAAAGGGCTGACTATTTGAAACTGTGTTCATGGCAAACACATTGTAAGTAATCATTTTAAAAATCATTATGAATGCCATACAGTCAACTTAACATGTTTTCAGCTTCATGTTCTTTTTATTGCTTTAATAATTTAAGTACTGTTGTTATCAGATTTTATTTTATCTTTTTCCTTGACCTAAATCCCCTATGTGGACACATAAAGCTTCATCTCATCATTTTGTCATTCAGGACTAATATGGGCCGCAGTCTGAAGTGTCACCTGCAGGACAATGGACGGCACAGAGAAGATCATGGCTTCATTGAAGATGGGGTTTGTGTCATCCCTTTTAGTGGAAGTCTTCTTCTTGCTGATCTTCCTGCCGTCTTGCAGGAGATACACTTTGACGAACGGATCTGAATACGAAAATGAGCAAATAAGATTACAACTGCATTTCAGGCTTCAAAAAACCCAAACTACACTTGTACAAATATACCTCCCACTGCACCCCCACCCCCCTGCACACATTTGTAGAGCATGCAGTAAACTTCTCATTAAAGAGTAATCAATTAGAAGCACAGTCCTGTACACACCATTAGCTCTTCTGATGATAATGACAGTGTTTCAGTAGATGACCTTTATCAGTACAATGTTATCTGGATATTTAATGTGATGAACAAGTCATTTAAGTCCCATCTGTCTTTCTGGATGAAGATAAATGTATCGTCTGGGAGCCCAGACGATAGCATTTATCTTCATCCCCACGAACAGAACAGATGCGACTTCAAATGACTTGTTCATGCACATTAAATATCAGATAACATTGTACCTGATAAAGGTCATCTACTGAAACACTGAATACTTATCATC